AAAAAATCAATCAAATATAGGTTAGGGTTAATTAAACTACATGTAGCTGAGATTAAAGCTGGACTGGGTTGAGCATAATTCACCCAGATCCATGGGGTCAAGGCCATTTGATCTTGGTGGGGCTCAGGCTGATTAACCCACAAAAATCACGAAAACATATGTCATTTACGAGAAGAAATGGAATGTAAAAAGAAAAGTGAATATCCATGTCTGGTACACCAACTCTCTCCTGCTCTAAAACGTTTTGGGAGCCTTCCTGACCAAACAATTTGACAGTTGACACCAGTGGAGTTTAATGTATGCTGAATGGCTTGTTTTGCTTAAAACAAGAGAACAGAGCATGTGGCATATTACTTACCAGAAATTACTTTATACAGAAGTCATTGCTAAATAGTGACCTCCTCTGCTAAAGTTGCAATTAATGTCTCTCGCCAAATTGCCAGATGCACATTCACTACACGCCATTATGTCGTATTTGAGAATGTCATTTGACAGAGTGCTTTTCCTAACTGTTTAAGGTAAGGCATTCAAGCGTCACCACTCCATTGCTATTCCCGACGCCTCCCGCTCAGGCCACCTCAGCGATCTGCGTGCGGTCTCGCTCCAGGATCCCTTCCCCGCCTCCGTGGCAGCCAATCCACTCTTTGACATGTCAGAATTCCCTGACAGTTATGAGGCAGGGCGAGCCGAGGCGTGCGGCATGCTCTGCCGGATCTTCACCAGCCGCAAGTCAGATGAGGAGATTCAGCAGGCTTACCTGGGACGATTCTACGTAGCGTTCAGCCAGGGCGTCAGAGTGGATGAGGTGAAGTTAACTCTGTCTGGGTTTTTTCTTGGGGTGGTGGTGGTGTGGGTGTGTTTGTTTTAGTATTCATTTTGTTTGTTTTGTAGTGAGGGACCAAGTTTATCCAGGACCAACTTCTACTGCTTAGTTAAGGAATTTGCCAAGCAAAGAAAAAAGTGCTTAGCAAAGCAGGCTGCCAACAAAACTATTGAATTCTGTATTTGTTTTGACTGATTCGCAGTGAATTTTTGCTTGGCACATAATTTTTTTTAAGCAAAATGCTTAGAAGCTCTGTGAAATTTGGTGGTGGTGCCAAGTTCTGGTTACAATTGATAGGTTTCAGACTGTGTGTGTGGAAGAATTACCATATTAACTTTCAACAAATATCTTTTTTCTCGACATAAATGGAGCATAATGTTGACACATTGTCTCCATCTGTTCTTTCCAGCATAAACACATTCTTCTTAAGAAGAATTCATCATCTACAGGTTGTTACATTTACAGGTCCGTAGGTTTTAAAATTGTGGAAGCTCTTGTCTGACACAACTTTGTGCATACTTTGGTGTGGTTGTCTAGAATAAAGACAGACGAAAATGCATGTGACATGCGTGTGAAATCTGGTGTCCTAACCTGAAAATTTGAAGATGGATTCTTCATTTATCACTGAGTACTTTGAAAAGTCAAAATGGATCAACAAAAAATGTGAGAGACCTTTTGCTGCATTTTACCCCATAAACACTGCACCGTCACGAATATTAAGTTCAGCATTCGAATTCCTCCCCGTTCACCACAGGCTTTAAGTGGTCAGGTACTTTCCAATGTGCTCTACAACTCCACTAATCTGCTGCGCATTGATTTGAAAGGAGTCCAGGTACTTATCCCAGATATCATCACAGCATTGCAGATCGTGCTTCCAGAGAAGGAGATTCGATTCCAGTAAGTTTGGTAGCATGAAGTCATCCATTTTAATTTTCAAATCTGCCAAAATGATCTCCTGTTACTTAATCTGGGTTGAAAAATTGAAAATGTTTACCCTATGCGTTACAGAGATGCTGCAAGTTTTTATCATCAATGTTAAGAATTTTTGACTATCAGTATTTGCAAACACTCATGCAACCAAGCTTCCTAACAGTGCGCAGTTGTCAGTTTGGTAAATTTCTGGCCAATCCAAATGTTGCACTTCATGATCTGTTTGACACTTGAAACTTCCCGAACACATATCCTTCAAATGGATTTGTTGGCAAGGCTGGTTAATCCGGTAGGTATTCCTAGTCCCTGCAAACATGTGTGACCTATGAGTACAAACTACAAGAGTCATGCATGTGCTAGAACAGTCTTAGCATTATGTTGGGAAAAGCTTTAAAACAAGCTTGGTTTAGTATGGCTCAGCATCAACACGAAATGTTAGGCTCCAGTGTTAAAGTATCTAGCCCTGTGGAATGAGATTGTTCAATATTTCAAAAAGGCAAGGCCATTCGAGAACAAACCACTTACGGGCGGACCTTGTCCCTGAGTATTGTCATTCCGTATTAACCTCGTTGTGGTTCATTTTTGGCAAGAGCTGTTGGCTTATTTGAAGTGGCTCATTGGAGCTTGAATCTACAGCAGAGTTGGGCATTCAGTGGAACACTCAATCCGACCCTACTTGTTGGCCATATGGGCTCTGTGGAGAAGCACCCCCTCAGGGGTGATAAAGAGAAAGGCTGGGCCGACACAGGAATGCTGTTACTGTTGTGTGGTTGGTGCCCTTGCGAAGACCCTATGGGTTTGCACAGATTCAGATCATATGTACAGGTACCCTGTGCCTCTCCTGTGCACACACAATTGCTTACGTATGGCATGCGAGCCTTATTAGTCGACAAATGTTCTTCTCTTTGTCAGGTCTCTAGTGTCCAACCAGCAGCTACGAAGGGCATCCATTCATCTCTTGTTATCCATGCTGTGCCTACCCCATCACTTCAAGAATCTCGCCATCCACGGTACACTGTCTTTTCTTCTGTTTAAGTCGTAACATAGTAATTCCACACACTTCACATACAGTCACCTTGTAAACACTGTGCATTTGTTCTGCCCAATTCTTCCCTGGCTTTGGAGGTGAAATTGTGAAACACTACCAGGGATTTTTGAGAATGGAGACATCTGTCTTTTTTAACTTCTGTAGCAAAATTGACCATGATTACAGCAATTATTGCATCAAGGATAGCTCAAGACATTTCATGACCAATAATGTTTCATGTAAGAATGGAAAAGTTTTATGGCCTATGTATTGAACTCTGGCATGATATATTCTGTTTCCTACAACTAATTGAATTGATTTTTTTTTTTGAGATCGTTTTGTTGTGCTGTGATCAATACACATGCACATGTAATTTTGAGTATTGTACACCAAACCCAACAAAGGAAAAGTAAGTGTAATTAATTTCACCATAATGTCACATCTCATGTTATCTAAACATGTTCACACCTTGATCCGTTAACATTTGAAAGAATAAAACTCCGACTTTACCATTGTGATGACCTGTAGACTTGATGACCGGCAAAGAGATGACCACAGAGGACATGCTAGGCCGGACCGAGCAGGTCACTTTCCTGTCCCTCAAGCCCAAGTTGGTTGACCTCATGATTGCTGCCGTGCAGTGTGAGACCGACTCCTACAACACACAGATGCTTCTTGGTATGAGTGCTTGACAACAAACGTCTCTATTGGCTCTGCACGATACTAGAGAGGGCGCTATATAATCTGGCTTGAAGAGCATTGATACATGTACCAAAGAGGGGTCTGCTCTTGTGAAAACTATAAATTCTGAAGGTGGTTTTAATTTAAACTGTTTTGGATATGTATCTCCGTGGTATATTGTTACGGATATTATGCATGGGCACTTGGACCAAGTGAAGGAGGAATTATGTCTCGTGAGAAGCAAATTTATGTTCAACTTGGGTTCATTTGTAGAGACTAAAGATTATTTACTCTCTGTTCTGCCATTTGTGGTAATTTCAGTGGTTTGACAAAACAAAACAAGATTTATAAGAGAGGAAAAATAGCCCTTACGTTATGGCCCCCTCACATATTGGTAGACTTGTTTCAAGATCTCAAGCCCTGACTTCATTTATGTATTTGAGAGACTTGTAATGTCCTTAAGCCCTCCAAAATTGCCTTTTTTGGAGGGTCCAGGTGTCAAGTATGCTCACATGTAGAACACGGTGCCTTTTCTTGTACACGTTAACATATCATTCTTTAAACCCCATTTCTGGGGTCAAAGGTCAAGGATATGCTTGCTGTGCTAGTACTTACATAATGTTCCTTCACTTGATTGTAAAATGTGCATGCTGACACCAATTAGGCTATTTTGTGCATCAACATATTTCATACCACTGGTCATGACGAAGATGTGTTTTGTCATTTCTTAGGTGCAATGCATTTTTGTGTTCTGGACTCGGCAATGTGCGAGGACATGGAAGCCAAGCAGGCTAAGATGGAACAGACAGAAAACATCCTACACGAGGAGGATGAGGAAGGAATGGATGCGGGGACTAGTGATGCAGACAAGACAAAGAGGTGGGTTCCTTAGCTGGTCCTTATACCCTCCTGTTGGCCTATTTGAGGATGCTGGTACATGTAGTTGCTAACTGCTGTCTCGAAACATTGTCAAGGAAAAGCAGAGCATCATGGGTAGTGTACCTCTCTGAGTATACACGGTTTACATGCATGGTTGTATGAAGATGGTGTTGACCAAAGGTCACCCATTAAGAAAACTTTGTCCATTGAGAACTACAAATGAACTAGCCGTGACTTACTTCAGTGGAATGTTGGGCATGAACCAAAGAAAATCTGACCAAAGTTTCCCAACAATTGCATTCCTTCCTGTTTTTGCATTATTGAAGGATTTGGAATGATTTATTGCAGAGTTACTAGTTGCTACCCAACATCTTATCATGATGTTTAATTCTCCAGTATTGTTTACAAGTAAAAGAAAGCTATGTTGGTTTTACTGCAGATGTTGGATTTTGAAGGAGTCAAGAAGTTTCTTTGTCAAATACTTCACAAGTCCCGGTTAGGGTGGTGCTTATTTGAAGGTCTAGGGAGTTGCATAGTGAGATGATGTTGTCTTAAAAATACTCTTTTCATCAGTTGTAGTTTGTTCAATTTTCGATATATATCTGATGTATTTTGTGATGTTCAGGGACAGTGATCTGGATGATAAGCGGGCTAGCTCTGGGAGTAGGACGTCATCTCGTAGCTCAGTCGCTGGCAGAACAGGTGATATGACCCAGAATGTTATCTACTCATTGCTGATCAGTCATCACAAACGCTCCTCTTTTTGAATTTGTTTAATTATTTTAACAAGTGTATAAAGGGATACCAAAAGTGACGGTTTCATCTGAGATGTGCCAAGTGTCAAGAGTAAGGCAAGTAAACCTTTGACCTTTCTTTGGTCTGTTGTCCTGACTCCTTTTCCATTGCCAACAGATTCAGCCTGGGTGATCTTTGTGCGTTGTTGCCACCTGGTGTGCCAACGGTTGATGTCAGCCTGGAGCACTGACTACACCGTTGCCTTGGCAGCACTGGAGCTTCTTGCCGGATTGGCTAAGGTCAAGATCAAAATCTTAGGTAATGAAAGGTGCACTTCTGGCTGAGATAAGAAAAGAATACTGAACAAGTGGTTAACCCCTTCGCGACGGATGACGGTAAAAGCTGCTGTAAAAATTGAGATCCTCAGCCCGCTTTTCAGCTATTATTCTCGGCCCAAGCTCGAGCAAACACGGTGAAAGAAGGCAGACCCTGGCTCTTGTACATATGGTGATTGCCCTTTGTGTGTAGCCCAGAAATGAAAAGACCGAATATGCATCATAATCACCAGCTCCACAATAGTCCCCACTTTGAAAAGAGGCAACGGGAATGTGGAAGGGTGAGTAGAGCCGCATGCTATCAAACAATGAGCCTTTTCACTGTGTAATTCAAAGCGTGCAGAGCACGCAGGGCCACAAACCGAGAATTTGCTGTTTGGCAAGTGGCCTTTGTGGCCAAGTGAGGCTGGAATTCTTGGAGTTGGCTTTCGGAAAAAAATTCCTGTCGTCAAGGGGTTATCAGGCTTAGCAAGAAACTGAAGGATAATTAAAGGGTAGAGCTGCAAGTAAGTGCCAAGAGTCAGTTTAGGTTCGGTTTGGACACGGTTTGGAAATTTTCGGTTCAGGTTCGGACATGTACATACATGTACAATGCACATCCAGACATCAAAGAGCTGGCTACGAACATGCCGTATAGATCTATAGTACTTTTGTGTGTATGTTTAATACAAGCAACGAATCTCCTCTCCATCCCATCCATGAGTAACTTCGATGTGAACATAATTTTTTTTAATTTTTTAAGTTCTCCTTGATTTTTATATACTTTTTGTTCAATTTTGCTTTGTTTGTTGTTGTGATGGTCAAATAAATAATAATAATAATATGGAATGTAAGGGCGTGGCTTTTGGAGATTGAACGCTAAATCTGAATATACATAAGCACAATTGGATGTAGTGAGAATTTAGAATTGTGCAGCGAAAATGCCGTACGTTGCATGTTCTCGGTTGATTATGAGTGAATTCTCTCCATGTGCTTTTTACAGCCATCGCGTGATGCGGGGCCACTGCAAGTATACTGTACATGAGCAGTGTGCATGTACATTTACAGTACGTAAGTTCTGCATTTTGCTAAAGAAAAATGTTTCCAAGAACTGTAAATGTACATACATGCTTACTGATGCACATTTGCTTAGCACTTTCGCGCGCCAGGGCGCAGCGGTATAACTTGTTATCCATTTTTCATTGCATTTGCTTTTTTATCAAGTTTTCTTGCATGCATTCTGTGCGCTAGTGATGCCATGCCATATTTAAAGCCGAACATCTGAACTGACCAGTTTGGTTCGGTTCGGTTCGGTTCGAAAGTGCCATGTTCGATGATTTTTGGTTCGGTTCGGCAGTTCGGCTGCAGCACTAATTAAAAGCAGCTTACATCTTACAACAATTTAATTTAAATTTGACCTAAACTGAGAATTTCACCTAAACCAGAAAATTTGTGTGGTTCAATTCTCAAAGTGAGCTCCATTTACACACTCCACTTTCTAAGCCATCTTGCCTGTCATGATTTTCTTATGAAGTCCTGACATAATGGCTACCACAGTGGTGTATCAGTGGCTATGTTTGAATCAGCTGTTCTGTGGATACGACTTACATTCTTCCCATTGACATGCCATGGTGAGAAGTTGTAGCCAGAGACATTAATGCCCATTTCGGATACAGCCTAATCTTAAGTTGTCTGTCGCTGGTACTCTGTCCAGATTCTCTGGAATGCAAGCGTGCAGTCAAGTGGATCTGTGACCATATCGTATACCAGTGTAGTCGTCCATCTATGTACC